AAGTATGATGTTTTATTCGATTTTATTTTAACATATTGAAAAAATTATCTGATATAAGTTTTTTCTACATGGAACATTTCTTCTTCATTTAATCATTTTATTTATCTAGAGAAACAAGCGGAACTCTCACAATTTCTGCAACAACGTGCTTATTGACAATCAATTGCTCTACGCCGCTGGTTTCATCAACTTTCTCGAAGTTAAGTATGACGTTTCTTTTGTTTTTGTTTGTTTCATATCGAGAAAATTATCAGAACGATTTGTTTTTAGATGAAATGATTCATCTCCATATAATCATGTTTTTCTTCTAGATAAACAAGCGTACCTCTGCAAAGTGGTAGAAACAAATGTTCATATTCAACCAAATGGTTCACACCAATGCTTTCTTCAACCCTATGAAATTTAAGCATAATGTTTCATTTGTTTTCTTTTACATATCGGGTAAATTATGGAAAACATTTTTCTGTTTATGAAAAAGTTTATTTTCACTATGTTATTTTTCTATAAAAGTAAACAAGCAAAACTTTGAAGAGTAAAACGTACACATACTTATTATGAATCAATTGCTTCACGTCCGCTGCTTCATCAATTCAGTCAAAAGTGAGAATCATTTTTTAATTTATGTCGTTTTTTAGGTAATGGGAAAACTAGCCAAAATATTTCTTTCTAAATATGAAAATTCATTTACATGCAATTGCTTTTTTCATATAGATATAGAAGCAAACTTTGGAAACTAGAATGAACAGCTAGTCATTCTCAACGAAATGCTTCACTTCAATGTTTGCTTCTAGAGTATGCAAGTTAAATTTGATGTTTTATTTTTATTTTTATGTAGGAAAACATCTGCGAAGAAATTTTCTCTGCATAGGATGATTCTTCTTCATCTAATTATTTTATTTATCTAGAGAAACAAGCGAAAGTTTCACAGCTTCTACGAACACGTGCTTATTCACTATCAATGGCTCCACGTCGATGGTTTCATCAACTTTCTCCAAGTTAAGTGCAACGTAGCGTTTGTTTTCGTTTCTTTCATATTGATAAAATTTTCTGAACTACATTCTTTTTTCAGATGTAATAGTTTTTCTTTATTTAATCTTCCGATTTATCTAGATAAACAAATGTATCTTTGTTAGTGATACAAACAAGTGCTCATTCTCAATCAATAGCTCCATATCAATGGCTTCAACAGTCAAATGGAAGTTAAGTATGATTTCTCACTTGCTTTGTTTTCTTTCAAACCGAAAATATTATCCAAACGATTTTTTTTCTAGATAAAGTGAATCATCTTCATCTGATTATCTTATTCTTCTATATATAGAAGCAAGCCTTCAGAAAGTAAAATGAACATCTAGTCGTTCTCAGCGAACTCCTTCGCGTCAATGCTTTCTTTAACCATTTGAAAGTTAGGTAGGCTATTTTATTTTATTTCGTGTTTTTACAGTTTAAGAAAATTATTTGATATAATTTTTCCTTCAGGGAACGATTTTTCTTCATTTAATCATTTTATTTATCTAGAGAAACACGAATAGTTCTCGGAACTTGTGCAAACAAGTTCTCATTTTGAATCAATCGCTTCGCGCCAATGTTTTTAACAATCGAATGAAAGTTAAGAATGAATTTTACATATCCAGAAAATCATTTCAAAGATTATTTTACATATGAAAAGATCTTCTTTTTTTTATGATCGTCTGATTCATCTAGATAAACAAGCAGACCGCTGGAAAGTGTTATGAACAGAGGCTCATTCGCAATTAATTGATCTATGTCAATGGGTTCACAGACTCCCTTACAGTTACGTATCATTATTCATTTTATTTTCGTTTTTTACATATCCAGAGAATTATGTGAAATTTTTTTTGTACATTAAAGGTTTTATTTTCATTTAATTATTCTATTTATTTAGATAAAGAAGCGAACATACGGAAACTAGTATGAATATGTGCTCATTCTCAATGAATTGCTTTACGTCAAAGATTTCTCCGATCCACTAAAAGTTAAGTATGATGTTTCGTTTCATCTCGTTTGATTCATATCAAAAATAAGTGGAAGGTTGTGTCCCTATGTGAAAAGATTCCTTTATATATTAATTTTATCTATCCATTCAAACAAGGTAAACTTTCTAACTCATCACGAAAACATCTACATTCACAATTAATTGGTAGACATCAGTGCTTTCTCTAATCGGTTGAAGATGAAGCGTCAGTTCTTTTATGAGATTATGTTTGGTTCCTAAGAAAATTATAGACACACATGTGTTTCTTTAAGGTGATGGAGTTTTTTTCGCGTTTGATACATATCGGTTAGTGAACAAAACTGTGTAAAATTTGGGTAACTAGTTGTACTTTACAGTCGATGCCTGCAGAATGATACTTCTTGTTTTCAACCAGAATAAGATGAGTATATTTTTTTCTAGTTGAGTTTTTTTTATAGAGAAGCTATAAACTATTTCGTAAGGTGCTGACGTTATTTTTCATATGTGAGGCGTTGATCGGGGCGAAGGAGAGAAAGAAACAATGGATTGGATGGGTTCTGTGTATCTTTTTTGATGATAAGTAGCCGTCGTATCAGTGAGGGGAGTGCTTCTACTAAAGTTTTCCAGCGAAGGAGCAGTAGCATTATGTAGTTGAGAATAGCATTTCATTTGTAAAATTTAAGTTTGGATGAGCGTGCGCCCGCTTTATATATTCAGACGAGATACTTGATAACTTGAGTGCTTTATAATACGTTGTTAATACTTCGATTCTTGCTCACTTTTTAATAATTTTTCTTTTAGATCTTGGGGTTCGATCTCTTTTATCGATTAATGGAATTACGATCATGGATTCAATATAAAGGTTTCGCGTATGAGTGAGTGGCAGTTACTTTGAACTTTTAGATGTGTTTCATAATTTACGTCAGTGATTGTTGTCAATTGGTAGTCACAATGTACTGATTTCTAGTAAGTTTTTAATTTAATCAGAGTTTTTTGAAGAGGAAATCGTCATCTATTAATCACTCATGCTTTTTTGTTTAGGTTTCGTCAAACAAAATCTTCAAAGTGAATACAGAATGTGCTGAACTTCAAATGCTCTTTGCTTAATATTTTATGTGAGAACATGGTAAACGATCAACATCAATTAAAGTGAGTAAACGTTTTCGTGTGACACCACAGAGAATTCATCTGAAGCAACCACTTAAAATCATTCCTCCAAGTTACATACTCCTCAGTTTATGGTGATTTACCTATCCTGTTTGTATTAATTAGTCACTGCTAGAAAGAGATTCGTACGATTCCTTTTCATCATCTTGATTTTTATCTTTATTGATCATGCTAGATTTTGATTCTCGATCGAATTATCTTCAGGTTTTCTAGTTTCGCTCGTTTCTCAGTTAGTCAATATTGGATTCTAAGACATGATCGAGTAAGAGTTTCGTCAAATATGAAGCTCAAAACGTAGAGAAAATAACGGATGTAGTTTCTTCCAGCCTCTGGAACTCTACCATCCTCTTGTTAATTATTATGAAATACTATAGATAGCGAGGGTTAGATATATACAATTATGAAAACTACAAATTAATTCTGCATATCTGTTTTCATAGACATGTGTCGCCCATCGATCAAGGTGAAAAAAACATATATTCAGTCATTCTCCGACCCCTGAAGGCAGTTCGTGGTATTCTTGAATCACTCTATATATCCTAACATTCAACCTGAAAGCGATATTTGAGGCTAAGAATCGCTTTCACATACCTTATCATAAACCCTTGAGGCAGTGGATGAGGTCCAGAATCGTTTTCATATACCTTATCATAAACCCTTAGAGCGGTTGATGAGGTTCAGAATCGGTTTCATATACCTTATCATAAACCCTTGAGGCAGTTGATGGGGTTAATAATCGGTTTCATATACCCTATCACAAACGCTGTCGACCATTCATGATGCCCATAAACGCTTTCCAATATCGTTTCTGAGAGGAGCTCACGGGTATAGTATTTTAATCAACCCTTTTTAGACTGAGTTTCGAAGGTTTTATAAGAACGTTTATGTTAATTATCAACCCTTTTCAGGGGTTTATGAAAGTGCAACGTGTCGCAATCCCTTTAAGGATTTATGAATCTTATCAACCCTTCAATAAACCTTCCAGAAAGAATATTTAACGTTAATAAACTCCGTATTAAACCCTTTTTAGAGGGTTTATAACAGGGTTCATGACTCGTTCATAAACGGTTGAAAAGGGTTTGCTACACGTTGCACTTTCATAAACCCTTTTTTCGTTTTTTATTCTACGGTTTTTTTTTACAGTGTACAATACGCTGATTATTTAACTCAAGCGTAACAATTTGTTTCTTAATATTTATATTCATATTATATTTATTAATGTAATCCATTCCTATTATCATATCGGTGCATAAATGTTGAGCTATATGAGCTTTTATTGTAGTACTGAAATTATCAAATTCAATAGATAAATCAACTAGACCAAGAACATGAAACGGTGCAACACCATCGGCTAACAAAAAAGAATATGGTCGCTTTAGTATAGTATTTCTAGATATTAAATTACGTAAGATTCGATTATTTATAAACGTTTTGGTTGCTCCGGTATCAACTAAAATTTTAAGCTTATGATTATTTACTAAAGCGTGTATAAAAATTAAAGAAGATTTTGATGGATTTATTATTGTTTGTCCGGAGTCAACACCATCTCTCAATGACTCCGTTAATGAAAACTTGGACAAGACGAAGCATCATGTCCCGATTGATTACAAATTTGACAAACATTCGATGAAATAGAACTATGAATAATATCTTCGTGCGTTGATAAAGTAGATGGAAAGGCTGCGTTAACGGAACGAGAGTTTGTTTTATTATCATATTTATGAGTAGTCTTATTTTGTTGTAACGGCTTTGGTCTATGATTATGATTGTTACTAGTATTTTTATTACTTGGTGACGTATATCTATTCGAATAAGAATTCGGATCAGACAAATGTTCTCGATTCGGTTTGGACACGTAAGATTAATAAAATGTAGGCGAAGATGATAGTGAATAATTGCGCCAATTTCTTTGTGGTGTCGAATTCTGATTACTATTAGAATTGCTAGTATAATTTGAAGAAAAATTACTTGAAGTATTTGCTATTTTAATAGAAGTTTTTGGTTTAGAATTATAACTGACAGCTGTATCAACTGTGACGTTCGATAGTTGTAATAATTCCTCAACCTCTTTTGCATACTCGAGAAATTCTGTAATTGACTTCGGTTTCTTTTTACGTACCTCTAGCTGAATAGATGGTTTTACTTTATTTAAAAGATTTTTCAATTTGGTAGATTTGTTCATAGTAGCATCAGCTTGCTGACAAAGCTTTAGAACTTCATTATAAAAATTTCGAACTGACTGATTTTCACCTTGTGAATAAGATTCAAGTGTTTTAAAAGCTAGTTCTTCACAAAATGTTGATGTAAATGCTTTTTTTATTTCTTGAACAAATGTAGTCCAAGTAGTCAGTGTAGATTGGTTATTTCGAAACCACTGAAGTGCATCTCCCCTAAGAGAATATGAAATCAAATCTAGTCTATTACTATCTGGAATATGTGCGATGTGCATAAGATGATCAATTTCTTCTAACCATTTTGTAACATCATCTTTATTACCACGAAAAATTTTTGGATTTTTAATAAAATCTGCTACAATTGCTTTACGTAAATCAATTATAACTGACTCTAATGGTAAATTATCATTAGATGAAGTATTTACGGAAGATTTAGTATCTGATCCATCACCAATTAGTTTGGTGGTATCATTAGTAGCAATGTTATTAGAACGACAAATACATGATTGTGATATATGATTAGAATCAGTTGCACTATCAATATTCGATTTAAGTTCAGTAATAGATTTATTAACACATAGAATTTTTCGTAGCTTCAAGTGTAACCCTTTCAATCCTGAAATTTTCTTGCGTTCTGCACGAACGCGAAAAATCAATAAATATCTCTCTCTTTTGCGTTCTGTGATTAAGATCAGCTGTGTATGAAACCTAGCGTCATTACTTATAGTCATAGAAAATGACAAACTTTCTGCTGCAAATAATGAGACACATGTAATTAACAGTCTAAGCTTATAAAGATTAGAATTTTGAATAAGATGAAGTATTTCATGAAATAAAAAAAACAAATCGTTTTCTAATTGATAATTCAAAATGTCATGCAACAAGGAAGATATTGTTGAACAACAAAATGATGACAATTACACAAACCCTCTGGAAGATTCGGACGTTGACGATATTATTGAAGAGATGAAATTGATGTGTGACATCGAAAGTGACGAATACAGGTGATAAATGACATTATTTATTCGAAAGTTGACGAATTTTAATAAATTATAGTTATGGTGATGAAATATTTCAAACAAGTCAAATATCACAGTCTTTGACAAATATAAATTCAATTTCTACTATGCATGGGAGAGAATCTAAAGAATCTAGAGCAGAGGAAAGTGAAGAATATAGGTGATAAAATAGATCGTATATTATAAAATTTGTAACTACATTACTTTATAGCGATGACGAAAATATATATCCGTCAAGAGTAACAACAATAGAATCAGGAAACGAAAAAAAAAGATTTGAAGAGAAATGGGCATTCGTCACAACAGAAAATGACTCTCAACCCACACGTTTGTCTGATTTCAATGAACCATCAGGACCAACGTTTTCAGTTCCGACGAATCCAATGCCGTCGGACTTTTACAAAAAAATGTTGCCTGATTCTCTTTTCAACTTCGTTACTGAATGCACGAATCTTCGTGCTAAACGTCATTTTACCAAAGTTGACACATGGAACGATAGATCGTGGTGTGATGTAAGATAAAATTAGAGTCAAAACGTAACTTGATATATTCCAGGTCTATTTATTTCAGGTGACTTGTGATGAAATGAAAAAATTTTTTGCTATTTGTGTCCACATAGAAAAACTGAACTTGTTTGTCTTTCAGGTTGTTTAGTAGAAAAGTTTTTTACCCAAAAGTTGACCAGGTGCTGTCAAACCAGCATCTTTGAACATGTTTATAATTTTTGTTTGAAAAGAATTGTGTTCCATGTGCATTTTCTTGCTCGGCAAAATATTCTCTTTTGTTGTTTCAACAATATTTATTGAACGTTTGATCGACGTAGATGACGATGACGATGATGATGATGATGATGATGATGATGATGAAGCCATTCAGTAATTCGATTGGTTATTCAATTATAGAATAAGATAAAAAAATAATCTAATTGAAAAAAAAAACCATATTTATTACAGATGTTAATGGAAATATTTTCCATTTTATCATTAGGGGTCCCGAATGAATTGATTACGAAAAAAATGAAAGCACCTGATTCTGCCTTCATGCGCAGCGGTAAACTTCTTTTAGTGAGATTTCAAGATAAAAAAGCAAGTGGTGAAAAAGAAATATTTTTGATCGATTCAAAAGGAATTGCTGGAGCTTCATCTGTAGAACGATACGAAAAAGGTAATCTTATTTTCCACTTCAATAAATCAAGAAAATTTTACTATAGGTGGTCTCAAAAAATCATTTTTGAAATCCAACAGTATCATCGATTATAATAAAAACATGGGAGGTGTTGACTTGTCGGATAGTGCTTTGCATCATACGTATATCGATAGAAAAACTTATCGATGGTTTATCAAAGTAGCTCTACATTTTGTTACTCGACTCTTGTTCAATTCTTATATAATGTACAAAGAAATCAAATCAAACATTACACTACACGAATTTCTAATGAGGTATGAAAGTACTCGATGTGAAAATAAAGATCTTGTTTTTTTTCTAGTTATGTACGTGAAACAATGGAAGAAACAGGAGCTGCGAGAAAATCAGTGAGAGATTTTCAACAGAAACCGAAGCGTCCTAGTTCACAACTTTCACTTGATCGTAGTCCTAAAATGACAACAAGAATCATACAACACTTTGCAAGTAAAAATTTTTCTATTTACGTACCAGACTTTTCTTTTATCATGTGCTTGATATATGTTCCAGGTAAAACAGATGTCGACTCTCGATCAAATCGTCATAAACAGAAACGATGTGTATTCTGTCATATGAATAAAGTTCGCACAATGACTATCTATCAATGTCAAACTTGTGATGGACAACCAGGCTTTTGTTTTCCTGATTGTTTTGAAAAATTTCATATTATTTCACGTAAAAATAATCAATAAGTAATAAAATAAATAATATGTACGATTGAGAATTAGAATGTATCTCACTAAAGAAATGAAATAAACATCGAATATACGCCAGTGAATTATATAAATGACTGCCATATCGATATCAGTTAGACCTTTCATCCTTTTCCTTCATATCGATCATATGATATTCGTCGTCTTAAACGACGACAGAACGCAAAAAATATTTTTTCGTTCTGCATGTCATCTACGAGATGACATGCCGGATTGAAAGTTAACAACATGACTAGGTTTTGAAGTACTAGATACAGAAGATATTGTATCGAAATGTGTTAACAGAAATTCGTAAAAATCATCAAAAGATGTAATTGATCGACGATTTCTTATATATTTACGTTTCGCTTCACCCTGAACAAGAAGTGGTATAGCTTTAAATCGAAGTTTACGTGAAATTTTGAATCGAGTAAATAAAGATTCTGTTTCATCTAACCATTGATCGACTGCCTTGGTTCCAGAAAAAGGAACGAAATTACTACAAATAAATGTATCAAATAGATTATCTTCATCTTGTTCATCTTTGTTACGCTCTTCGTGATTAGATTGATTATCAACTACATTCAATCGTTCTGATGAATTTTGTTTACTACCCAGTAAAACATGATCATGATTGTCAGAATCAACATGTTTTTTTGTATCTACTATAGTATTCATCATTGAAGTATCTTCATTAATACAAGACTGAATTTTAGCACATGTTGATAATCTTAGTGGCCGATTCGGTGTAGGAATAATTTCCATACGACGAGTTAATTTAAAAAAAGCACTAGGTTTAACTTCTGGATTTGTTGTCGATGTTAAAACTGACGTAGTTGAATTTGTTTGTAAATTTAACGAATCTAGTGATGCAGATTTATGCATAGTAGTATAGTGATAATGATACAAAGATATAGTTAATGTATAAAGATAGAAAAGAAACGAAAGAAACAAAAATGTATATATTTATGTATTGTAATGACTTGAAATCGAAAACGAAAATGAAAAGGAAAACTTCAGATAATGGTATTATATTCAAAAAAAAAAAGACTTCACTTTTCTTTTTTTTTTTTTTTTTTTTTCTTTAATTTTGTGTTATTTTTAAATTTCAACTTCTCCGCCAATTGTTAGCTCTCTAGTTAAAATGGGGACTCTCTATCGAGCTAAACTATGTAACATATAAATCTGAAGCTTACATACAATATATGAATATGTAGCTGTTGATGTATATATGTTGATGATATGATAAATAAATATATTTGTCAGAATAACAACAAAAACAACGAAGAGAGAACCAACGAACAAAACGAACACAATGTATATATATATCATTGAGAACATCAATCACATGACCTTAATATGTATTGGTCATCTAACAAATGACGCAATATGACTAACATAATGGTTTAGCGTCAGCCAGTGACATCTGCTGAGGCTAACGCTATGTGCTTTTTACTCATAATGAGACCCTGGTTGCTGTTTTAATCTCGATCATACATTGATAGGTATTTATTTCCAAGCTCTGTTTAACACTGCTATACAGCATCCTAAATAGATGTCGATGTCATCATTCATTATGATTCATGTCATTTTGACCCTGAAACTGTTCATAAAAGTATACTATCTTCTATCGTATATATCTCTCATTTCCATGAATGAATGGTTAGCACTTCAGTACAAAAATCTGTTTTGAATAATACTCGCACTTTTTTCTGAAAGAAAATAGTTCTTCGAGAGAATTATTTGATTTGAATATACAAAAGCATTTCCAAAAATACAAATGAATTTGAATAAAGTGAAAATGGAAAATTAGAAAAAAAAATATAAACATGACTGTCTATTGTTGCGCAAGATAGTGATTTTAGTGTATAATGCGGGGATATTGTTGCTGTTGTCCACTTGTATCCTGACCCGCTCGCTGATATTGCTGTGCACAACCGGCTTGACCAGCTTGTTGCTGTGGATTTTGCTGGTGATTGGCACCTTGATCCTGTTGTTGTTGATTGTTATCGTTCTGACCACCTTGTTGTTGTGGCTGAGCATTAGCACCTTGACCTTGTTGCTGTTTTTGAGCATTACCTCCTTGGCCAGGTTGTTGTTGGTTCTGTGCATTAAGACCTTGGCCAGGCTGTTCTTGCTGTTGATTGTTGCCTTGGCCAGGTTGTTGTTGCTGTTGGTTGTTGCCTTGGTCAGGTTGCTGTTGGTTCTGTGTATTAAGACCTTGGCCAGGTTGCTGTTGTTGGTTCTGTGCATTAAGACCTTGGCCAGGCTGTTGTTGCTGTTGATTGTCGCCTTGGCCAGGTAGTTGTTGCTGTTGCTTGTTGCCTTGGCCAGGTTGTTGTTGCTGTTGGTTGTTGCCTTGACTAGGTTGTTGTTGCTGTTGGTTGTTGCCTTGACCAGGTTGCTGTTGATTCTGTGCATTAAGACCTTGGCCAGGTTGTTGTTGGTTCTGTGAATTAAGACCTTGGCCAGGCTGTTGTTGGTTCTGTGAATTAAGACCTTGGCCAGGTTGTTGTTGGTTCTGTGAATTAAGACCTTGACCAGGTTGTTGTTGGTTCTGTGAATTAAGACCTTGGCCAGGCTGTTGTTGCTGTTGGTTGTTGCCTTGGGCAGGCTGTTCTTGGTTCTGTGAATTAAGACCTTGGCCAGGTTGTTGTTGGTTCTGTGCATTAAGACCTTGGCCAGGTTGTTGTTGGTTCTGTGAATTAAGACCTTGGCCAGGTTGTTGTTGGTTCTGTGCATTAAGACCTTGGCCAGGTTGTTGTTGGTTCTGTGAATTAAGACCTTGGCCAGGTTGTTGTTGGTTCTGTGAATTAAGACCTTGGCCAGGCTGTTGTTCGTTCTGTGAGTTAAGACCTTGGCCAGGTTGTTGTTGGTTCTGTGAATTAAGACCTTGGCCAGGCTGTTGTTGCTGTTGGTTGTTGCCTTGGGCAGGCTGTTGTTGGTTCTGTGAATTAAGACCTTGGCCAGGTTGTTGTTGGTTCTGTGAATTAAGACCTTGGCCAGGTTGTTGTTGGTTCTGTGAATTAAGACCTTGGCCAGGTTGTTGTTGGTTCTGTGAATTAAGACCTTGGCCAGGTTGTTGTTGCTGTTGGTTGTTGCCTTGGCCAGGTTGTTGTTGGTTCTGACCAGTAAGACCTTGGCCAGGTTGTTGTTGCTGTTGGTTGTTGCCTTGGCCAGGCTGTTGTTGCTGTTGATTGTTGCCTTGGCCAGGTTGTTGTTGCTGTTGGTTGTTGCCTTGGCCAGGTTGTTGTTGGTTCTGTGCATTAAGACCTTGGCCAGGTTGTTGTTGGTTCTGTGAATTAAGACCTTGACCAGGTTGTTGTTGGTTCTGTGCATTAAGACTTTGGCCAGGTTGTTGTTGGTTCTGTGAATTAGCACCTTGGCCAGGTTGTTGTTGCTGTTGATTATTGCCTTGAGCAGGTTGCTGGTTCTGCTGGTTGTTGCCTTGACCAGGTTGCTGGTTCTGCTGATTGTTGCCTTGACCAGGTTGCTGGTTCTGTTGGTCAATGGGAATTTGACCAGCTTGTTGTTTTTGATTGGCTGATGTCGATGTTGACATTTTTTTTATTCAATCTTGTTTAAGTTAAGGTAATAGACGAGATATAACTATTCACTATTGTTGCTTTGATTCAATGTACTATCATGCTTCGATGTGCATCTCGTATTTATATTTGAGAAATGCGCATAATAGATATTATAACAGCGCAATTGATTACAATTACAAGACAAGATCTATACAACGATGCTTTTTTTTACTCAAATCACACCATATAATTGAAGTACGAAGAAAGTTTCATTTAAAAAGACGTCGCAATACTCTTGATATAGAAAAAAGAAGCATTCTATGTTCTGTTTTACATCTTAATCGCAAGTGTATTGAAGGATGCCAAAAATAAGAGTATTACGTCGTAAACTTCTAGGTCAAGAAGATACGTTTGTCAACGGTGGTAAAAACAATGAAATAAGTGAAGAAGTAAGCATTTTACAGTACGATGACATAGATAAGAAGGAAACGATCGTATATGGACATAAGTTATGCGTGAGTTGAATTGTACTTCTTGAGTATCTAGTTCTTGAGTTTTCAACTCAACGATGAGTTGAATGCTAATTATTACTTTTGAATAGAGTGTTTTTTTTTCACTTAGATTCTTTTTATCAATAAGTTGAGTAATGTTAGTTAAAATATTTTTAATAAATGATTTTCTTCCCTTATTTAGCTTGATTCCAAGAAGAAATGAACAATAAGTATCTATTCAGATAAATGAAATTTTTTTTTGCGATATGTGGAGTGGAATATTGCACCTTTTTTAGTATTGAGAAGACTATGCAAATAGGATGAAAAACGATATTTCGTATGCTCTAGTTTTATTTCATCGTATATGATACAACGTAATCGAGTCGTCAATCAAGAGGCAAGCAGTACAAGTGTATTTTATAAGGTTATTATCTTGGCTTGACTGATAACACACGCACTTTGTCACTGCATATCATTTCTCTTTTTTTTTCTTGAAAGAATTACCAACACAACTTTCAAAATGAATCATTCAAAGAGAGCACATAAGATTGGGTTAGTAAAATGGCTGAAATCGTAGGTAAATAATAAACATATATATGTTTAAATGAACAACATAACCATGGAATACTCAGTACTACAATAAATAGTACGGAATTGTAAAATACTCAATTTATTCTATAGAATTAGAAGTGAAAAATATGAATCTGATGAGTAAAAAATTTAGATTTTGCTAGTAGATGAAAGGTAAACTGTACCCATATAAAGTATGAAGTAGTATGAAATAAATAAATTGCAATAAATAAAAATACAAAAGAAATGAGAAGAAATCCAAAATAACATTATATATCAATGCAAACTGGGGATGTACTGGTGATGTTGCACCATTCGCCTGTCCACCGCAGTACCGGTGGCACTGGTGCAGTGGTCATTATTTTTGTATTCCTCTGCATATGCTACACAATACATCCCAGAAACTAGAGTACTGAATATTCTGGTAATACGTGATCTCTTGTTCTAATCAAATGAATTTTGCTAATGCCAATCGGAAATGCGGGATATGACGGTGGATCAAGCCAATAAGAGTACAGAAACCTACGGTGAAGACCGGCGTATTAATATCAATGGTTGTATTGAGCTGTATATTGTCTAAGTAGTAGTAGAAGCCGGTCATCGCCGTAGGTTTTTATGATTCTCAATTGACAGTATTGACTTTCACGACGGTAGTCGAAGCTATATTCCTCAGTAGACGATACTATGACAGAGGAAACATTTCTTTCATATCTCATTACTGTGATTAGGCTGAAAAAAAGTACGGTTGAACCTTGATAGCCTATAGTAATGACCGATGTAAGAAAGCATGCAGACGTCTGTATAATGATGGAACGCGACCATCCCAATAAATTCTTGATATTCTAACCGGCCATATTCGCATTAGCCTATTCAAGATTCGAAATTGTGATTGTATAGAAGACACACTTTCGCCCACGAATGTAATGATCAGGTTATCGATATCGTCGATTTGAATATAAAAACCTACGGTGATGGTCGATATATCAACATTAGCATGGGCTGTGACATCTAAAGCGGCGAATAAATAATAGAAATCGACCATCACCGTGGGTTTCTCCTGCTCTAACCGGCATTATTGTTCGCGATCGTCATTGTTCAAAATGTATTTTTAACGGCGGACTATTATCTTATAGAGGACCTTTTTGGGGTACTAATACCATGATCAAACTAAGAATAGGGCTGATGGGAGCATGAAAACCTGGGCTAATGGAGCCTGTTTCGGCCCGAGCGATTGCTGTGAGCTTTAAAGTGTTCTCTTAATGCAGGAAAGGGCTATCATAATAGATTCCTAGCTTGTTTCTGGAGAAACTTATTCTTAAAATTTTAAGAGGATGTGATCCTTGCTCTGTTGTACTGGTGAAAGCGGAAAACTCCAGAATGCATTCTCATAAAAATTAGTCATTATTTCGTGGTTTGTGACTTATTCATAAACTAAGTAATGACTTAAGTATGATAAATTTTGCTTGAAAAGCAATGCATTACAATAATACGGGATTTGTCGACGAGATGCCGCTGATCCGTGAGCAGGCATGCAAGGGTAACGATTATTCACCAGTATATCTGCATGATTTCACCGATCCAACTACAATAACCGTAGCTATTAGCAACGGTAATCAACCGAGCCCGATTATCAGCAATGAAAGGAGTTTTTTAAGGAAAATAATCGTATTTTATAAAGGTTGACGAAAGTAAATTGGAGTCGAGGAATCGGAATCTGATACCAGTTTCTCGAAATTTCGAGTTCCATTTTTCTATATGAATGGTTCTTTAGAAAAAAAGTAGTTTTTGTAAAGTAAAACAAGTATTTCGTGGAAAATAGTTTTTTAAGTAAACCATAACAGTTCAGAGAGAGATCTTTTCGTGAAAGTTCAAACTCGAAATTTCGAAAAACCGATATCAGATTCGAATTCCTCGACTCCGATTTGCTTTCGTCAACCTTTATAAAATACCGTTATTTTCTTAGAAAATGCTGTCTGTCGTGAAAATCAGCTTGAACCAATAACCTTACGTACGATTATCGGTTGGGACTGGTGAAATGGTGACGGTTAACCGATGAATGATCACCACCGTTGCATTCATAGCTATGAAGTGATCAATGTTTGGGAACTGTTTATGAAGTTTGAGAAATACGATCATATGCCACAGTAGCCGGATGAGTAGCTACTGAATATGTACTTCTCGATAACGACATGAACAGCTTCACTTTTGATTTGAATCAGATCAACCTGAGTAGCTTTAATTTGAGCACGTTGTCGCCGGTGCTTACGGTGTATCGTATACTGATGGTACCGATGAACGGTGAACCGTTGCAACGGTGTTACCGGTGACCACCGCCAACGCCGCATTCCTAATACAAACAATGAATGAAGAAAAAAGAAAAATGACGATTCAATGATTACACTGTGAAAAGAAGTTTAGCTTTCGTTGGTCTATTTCTTTTTCTTTTTCATCAATTGGTAGTGGGTTTGATGTGATACCGATGATTTGTGATATTTCTATCAAGGTGCTATAGCGACAATATGTTTGGAAAAGGTACTTCTGAGAAAATGCCAGCGAAACATCCTTGCAATAGAAGACCCAGGGTCTTCCATAGCATCCGTCCGTATAAACATCTCAGAGGGGTCTTATATTTAGAAGAGTCTTCTAAATGGCTGTTTGCTTCAAATTTGTATGAAAAAACAGTTTTAGTGTTCATTATTTTATTAGATTACTTTCATTAAAAAAGTGACAAGAAAAAGACTTGCAAGATATAAAAAAAACACTATTTTTTATTTTTTTCACATATTGATTAATGTTAATTACTTTATTTGGGTTGATGCAATTTGAGTATGTTGTTGCTGTTGTTCTGAAGCTGCTTCAGGAACCATTTACAATGCGTTCTTCATTATCATAATTATCATCCATTAACGGCAAGCATTCAACTGATGTTGGATCAAATGTATAACCGGGCATTGAACGAAGTGAGGCAAGTGAATTATCTGTCCAAATATAACCGATGTTGTGAAAGGCTTTAAGAAAATCGATGCTTTTCAATGTTCGTATCCATGCAGACCAAGTAAATCTAGTGCAAATAATACGTGATTGTGATGCCGTAAGTCTTATTTTACTCTTAGATGCATTCTTTTCAATATATTCCTCCAAAACATCATCATAATGATTTTTAAAACCGAAAAAATCGACACATCAAGTATTTGTACGTAGATTGTGCAGCCTTTTGGTACAATCGCAACCACCATTCGTTTTTTATGTAAATCACGAACAAGATCAGGATTAAGATGTGAATTAGCACTATCAGCTATCAATAGCTTTGGATGAGCATCTTTTGTCTAGAAATAGAAAAAATAGTCTATTTCTTTTATTTAAAAAAAAAAAGTTCAACTTATTCATACTTTAGATCACCATAATTGAACATATTGATTCATCGCCGGGCCATTGATCACTCCCTTTGGTGTAAAAAATACATTTACACCGTGCGCATATTGGCTCTTCTCTCTTGACGATATTTGGCCTTTACCTTTGAAAATAAGAACAGGTCCGAGTCGAGAATTATCTTGATCAAACACCGTAAGAGTCAAAGTTGCAAAACGTTTATCACTAAGCTTTCCTTCTATATAATTTGGTGTACCAATATCATTAATACTACGTTTTCCTTGATCATCAAATAATTGAAGAGGACTCTCGCTCATTTTACAAACATCACGTGGTGTGAAGGCTCCCATAGAACCTCACTAAGGACACCATTTGCTTGCACGTCGAATATAAGAATGAAATGAAGAAACCAGTTTATAAACATCGATAAGAGGAATTTTTTATTGTCTTTTTGAACATTGTAAAGATAATCTATGACGTTTTATGAAACGATAGTACCATTTACATGATGATGGATTATGTTTTAATTCAAGACTTAATTTAGCACCTTGACGTTGAAGTTGTTTGAAGGAAACTTTTTTACGCCGAATATTATTGATGGAGGTGGAAGAACTTGGATCAGTTTTAGTTCGATGTTCTCAATACCATACTAATAATTATGAATCCAGATCAATATATTTTAGCTTTTTGCCAGCATCTCCTAATTTTCGTCTTTTTCTACCTAAAATTAAGGAAAAAAAATTCATTATAGATTATAGATTTAATTATCTTGTTGAAGTAAAGGAAAGAGTAGATATGATTTCAAGCAATCTAAGAATATGCTCATTATAAATGGTGTGGGTGTAGGTGTGAGTGTGAGTGTGGGTGGGGTATGGGTGTGGGCGTGGGTGTAGATGTGGGTGTGGGTGTGGGTGTGCGTTGTGGATGTGGGTGGGTGTGGGTGTGTTTATCGGTGTGGATGTAGGTGTGGGCGTGGGTGGGTGTGAGTGTAGAGAGGACTAATCCACACTCCACACACCCACATCCCACACCCTGAGCCCTACCAGAAAATATTTCACGGCTTTAATGATATTTCGTTTTCAGGAATGCCATCGAAAGCTACATCAAATTTCATCGACAGACTTCAAA